GTTCGTAGGATCAATCCTTCTCCACGTGTCTCTGTTCCATAGGGTCTCAGCCTGGCACATTATAAAACATACTTACCTCTATAAAGAGTAGAGTTTTCGTCCTTCCAGTCACACCTCAGAACTCATGGCTCTGACCTGGCCCCAGCACCCACTGTTCCATTGCCCAGCACCATCTGTTTACCTCCACCTGGGTCAAGTGTCCACTTCTCTGATCAAGTCATCTAAAGCCTACATGCAGGGGAAGACATATCAACATGGCTTCGTAGGTTCAACACACCTAAGGTGGGGAAGGGAATCAGGGAAAGGAGACATACACACACAAAGAAGTGAACAGTTCGAGAGTGTTGAATGCTAATGTTCTGGCCCACAAACCCAAACTCCCTGCCATCGAATCAACTCCAAGTCATGGTGACCCCAGAGGACAAAGGGAGAACTTTTTCCATGGGTTCCTAAGGTTGTAAAATGTCACAGGAACAGAAAGCCTCATCTTTCTCCAGTGGAGGGACTGGTAGTTTTGAACTGCTGACCCTGCAGTTTTTAGCAACAAATGCGTAAGGAGTTGTCCGGACATCTGTGTCCTTTTCCCTACTTCCGGATTGACTTCTTCCCCTGTCCTACATCCACCTCTCCTCTCACCACTCCACCTCCCTTCTATCCCCTTTACTCCTAATTTCTCCTTCTCTTGAGAATTTGATTTCCCCTTAGAGGATGTTTGTGTTTGAATTCTCATTTTGGCATTCACTAAGATTTTAATTCACACTTCTGCATTCACTGAGCTTAATTCAAATTTTGCCACTCACCAGGGCTACAGCTATATCCCCCATACACCGCGGAAGCACATGTCCCACCAAGAGACATTTCACGGCTCCCTACCAGGGTCGGCCCCAGTCCTCTAGCCTGTGCGCTACTGGAAGCCTTCTCTGCTGATGGGGCTAGGGCTCTCCCCTGCCTCTCCGGGGCTTTGGAGAATGCACTCCCTACGTTCTTACACTAGTCCCCAAACTAGTATTAGAGCCTTCCCTTTGGGAGGCTGTCTGGAATGCAGTTGTCTGAGGCAGAGCTCTTGGTGGTGGGGATGGATGGTGTGAGTGAAGATGCACGTGTGTCAGAGAATGAGGTTAAAGAGGTATATGCATACAGAAACAAGGCAGGGGGCTGGACATGAAGGAGAAGTGGGAGCTTGTGGGCCTGGACTCCATGGCCCCAGAAAAGTAAAACATAGCTGCTTCCACTGACTTGAGCTTACCCTCCTTTTGTCTGACCTAGCTGGAAGTTTTCTACTCCATAGCTCTTAGAACCTGCAGGAAGCGTCTTCTTGCCTCCTGGGCTGCCCCAGTGATAGGATAAATGTTGACCCCTGTCACATCCCTCTCCTCTCATCCCTTGAATGCCGGGACAAAAGTGGGGTAGCAGCAGCCCCCTCTTCTTCTCCATCTCCTTCAGTGTCAGATATCCCGCCCCGGCCCCCCAACAGTGGTCACGTGCAGCCATGCTGTATCTGCCACCTTCTTTTCTTCCTTGCTTGTTCGTCCTGGCCTAGTCTCAGCAGCAGTGACTAACTCCAGGGACTGCCACAGCTCATTTAGGAGAAGCTTACACCTCAGCCGGTCTGCTCGGTCTGCACCTGTGCCAGGGAGGTCTGGTGCAGATGCAGCTCTTTCCTAAAGTGCTCTCTTTCATGGCTGCCACCAAGGCCTGTGCTGCTGCAGACTTGTGCAGCTTGGTGACTGTCTGGACTAAGCTGAAGCAGGTCAGGGCCCTGCAGGAGCTTCCCTACAGGTCCCCAGAGATCAGCAGCAGAAAGTGTCAGATAAGATAGCCAGTGAAACCAGATGTTCTGGGTTTGAAGAAAGCTATTCTTGGAGTGTCCAGACCCCCGTATGCTAACTGCCATAATTGCCACACATTCCTCACCACCCCTTTAAAAACCCCAGCTGCTGAGCCCAACTTCCCTGACCTGTTGGCCTAGGTCAGGGAACCTCGTCCTGGAGCTCCCCCTAATAAAGCTATTTCTGTTTCTGCTCTCCCTTGTCCTGTCAGTTATGTCTGTCTGTCTCCCTGTACCTCAGTTTCACCTTTCAAGTGAAATCATGCAGCCCCTGCGCCCTCTGCCTCTGTCCTTGGCTCTTCCTGCAGGCGAAGTGAATGCCAGGGGCCGGCTGCCCCAGGCACAAGCCTCACTGGCATCCCTGGACATTTTGCTGTCCTCGAGGATGGCCTGAGCTTGTCTTCTCTGTTATTCCAGGGCAGAGACCAATTCTCAAGGTAGAATTCGGGGGCTTTCGTGTGTCTGGTCAGCCTGTGGTTGATGAAGGCCATGGTTTCAGCGTGCTAGCACCTTCCACAGAGATCTTCAGGATTCAAGATCACGATATCTGTGGCTTTCTTGGCTTAAGTCTCTTTGAGCAAAAGGGAGGGCACCTTTCCTCTGGCAATGCCTTCATTGAAAATGGAGTGTTCTGAATTTAGAGCAAGCAGTTACCCCCTTAAGCTGAAAAATCTGGAATCCGGAAGAAACCCTCCTCATTAGGACTGAAGGTGAAATGGAGCCTGTGGACAGCCTGAAATGTTCACTTGGTGAGCATCTGGGGCCACTCGTTGAGTGGAAATCGGTGAAATGCAGCAACAGAGAGACGGGTTGAGTCTAGCCACTTACACCCGTGAGCCTGGTTACCAAGGACTAGAGGAAAGACAAGAGCGAGCTGGCCAGTTTGAAGTTGAAAGAGTTCTGTGAAACCTCAGCTCATGGCATGATCTAGCCCAAGGTGGGCTAGGATTGTTGAGAATTTGTGAAGGGGCCCGTGGTCAAGAGGTGAGGCGGCCAGTGAGCACCCTCATGAGGTGAAAGGAGCCCATGCTGAGTTGACCAGAACCCAGCTGGATCGAGATAGGATCATTGAGTCTGTGAATTGGCGCCCAGTGCCTGCTAATGTGATGGATGGCCCTGATTTGGCTTTGCTTATGGATTCAGACTCACCGGGTTTCAACTGAGATGAAGATTCTTCACATTACATCAAAGAACACGCGGGTCTCCTCAGAGCACTTAAGGAGAGAAATGGGCAGTGTTGAAATTAGATGCCCCAAACGGTGGAAGATATCTGGCTTCCAAACTTTAATAGGTAGAGGAAGATATGGATAGGATCATAGGATTAAGGTGTAGGTGTTCACATAACTGCAATTGTTAGGAAAATAATATTTTTGTTTAGTTCACCAATGGCATGTAAGGCTTAAATGGGGCTGGTGATTTTCAGTTGTACGTGTGTCTTTTATCCATGATTTTAATATTGTTTTTGTTTAGAAATGATGTAGGGCTAAAGAGTTGTGTAAAGGTGTGGAGTTCGCCCTGGTCTGTGGTAGTTAGATGGTAGGAAAGGGTAGGGATGGAATCAAACCTATTCATTAGGTGACAGTTTGATTGATAGTACTTCCTTGGGGGTGTGGCCTTCTCATAAGGAGAACTAGGAACTTCCTTCTCTCTTCGTCACTTTTGTTTTCTGCCTGCAGAGACTCTGTACTGAACTTGACAGCTGCCAGAGCCCAGCCATGTATCAATCAACCTGGGATGAACAAGGCGCCGCACGGACTGGTCTGTAATCTTCCTGTATTCTCTATCGTTGCATGAGTCTGGGGAGGGACTTGGGGACTAGGGTTGCCCTTATGGGCTTGAGTTGGACTGGGCTGGGATGCTTTCTTGATATCTAATTAGGTCTCAATATAAAGCTCTTATACATCTTTGAGTGTGACTGTATTGGTTTGTCTAGTCAAACTGGCTTAACACATCACGGAGAGGGTTGCTAGAGAGATAAATCATGAAGATGGAGAGTGGCGGCTTGTCTGACTTCTGCCTTGGGCAGCTGGATGGAATTTAATTTTTCTTTGGATAGCTGGAGGTCAGCTATGGCCACGAGTTTTACTCGGTTGTTTTCTGGAAAGGGCATAGAGAGTGAAACTGTAGATTCTTAGCGATTCTTAAAGCTGTCTTTGGTTATTCATACCTGGAGAGGAGCAACAGAATGTAGTGGATGCTAAACGGCAGGTCAGGGGGTCAAAACACCCCATGAACTTTTCTGTGGCAAAAGCCATGCTATCTATGCTGCTTAGTCCAAATGGCTGTCTGAAGGCTTGGCCCCTGGCTTGATCCTGCAGGGGCCTGAGGCTACATTGCATATGAATGGGATAGTTTAGATAAGGAAGGATTGCAGTTGACTGTTTTAGGAAGGCTGTACCGGGACTCAGTTGATTCCTTTCACCTACTGTGTATTGATATCATGTGTGATAGATAGCAAGGATTATTAGAAAGCCTGTTTAGAGAGAGTTGATAAGGCCACTGCCTCAGCCGTGGCATTGGCTCTGTGATTGGAATTTCCCTTGGGCTGCAAACACTCCCTACCTCTCACGTCCCAGAAAGTGGAATCACATCAAACTAGTTAAGCCTTGCTGGCACCATGTTTCTCTTGTGCTTACTTTGCAAACACCACCAATGTCTCTTACTTTCCCTGCACCCCCTTCCCTGGACTTTTTCTGACATTCAGATAACGGACACTTTGTTCTGCGTTTCAGGGTCCATTCATCCATTTGATTCTAGTCAAGTACAAGCAAGATTCTGGGGCATTCCCCGAAGGAGGTTTCCAAACTACTCTGACCCTGTCAGTAGTAGCATCTTCCGTCGGTTATGCCAACAGCAGAAAGGTGAAAACGGGGCAAAGAGGCATGTCCGTGCCGCCTCTGGATTGCGATAGTAAGTGACCAGACAGCATGGTGGCATGCGTGGCCCAGTGGAATACGTAGCACTGGATGTTACTCTGTCATTACTCTTCTACTCCACAATCTCGTAGAATGAAGAATGGTAGGACAACATTAACGGTTGAGCAAACATTGACAGGCTTCTTTCTCTCTACATCATCACAGCTCCCCCTATTCCACCCCAACTTACAAGCAGGAAGACACTTGTCATAAAGGAGACCAAACCCATGGCACAGTGGAGAGAGAGAGAGAAGATCCCCAGGCAGGAGTGGAGGGGGACAGACAGGATGGCAGCACCAGGAGTTTCTCCAAGATCACAGTGAGTGTTCTGGCAAAATGGACCTGCTGTGCAGGGGAGACAGGGTTGGTGAGGTTGTGCTGAACCCACCTGGGGACACTGGGTACTTTGCTGGGTCATGGGGAGCTGGAAAATTGTGCTTGTTCGTACGGGTTGTTGATTCATCTAAAGGCATGTTGGGAGAAGTGATGAAAAGGGAACAGGCAGAGGCAGAGCTGAGTCCCTGGATCCTTGTCGGAGGGGCAGGCAGGGTCTTTGTGAAAAGGCCCTAGAGCATGTTAAAAACGGAAATTGATTATTTGGAAGAAAATGCTGGAATATTTTACACGGTATTTATCACACCCACTCTGATACAAAAGTTAGAAGTAATGGGCATTGGTCTAGTGTGGAAACACTTGGTTGGATGTCTTTTTAAGCTATATTTCCATCACGATAATGGCTTCCTCCATCCTTTCTTATGCTCCAAGATTCCGTTTGGCATTAAATCTGGCAGGAATTAGCAACTAATTTTGCCCAAGGCCAATCTTAATGTTCCCTCCAATCCAGCCCAGGTAAGAGTACAGTATGACAGCCACATGGGCACAAGCTAGCTGGAGGACCCAAGCTGAGCAGTTATTTGGACCTCATGTAGCTCTCACCGAATTTCGCTATGAGAAAAGGCAAGGCATATGCTTTGTCCAGAGTGCATGGCAAAGCTTAATTCAAAGCAGTTGGGCAGGCTAAGATGGACATGCCTTGCTTGATGTTGGGTTTCAGGGGTCCTGGCATTTACCCAAGGCTCTTGTCTTCTTTGCAGAGGTCTCTCTTTGACGTCCCCTCTGCTGTTCCCCAGTCTGTGCAGAAGGAGCTGAAGTCAAAAAATGGGAAACTGATTGAAGGAGTGCCAACTAAAGAGGTGTGTGGCCACACTCAGACCCACCCCCATGTCTTCAGTCTCTGATTCCACCTCAGGATCAAGCCACTAATCCCCATGCCTGTCCCTGCAGGTGACCAAGATGAAAGGAGATGAGGTCTGCCAGGAAGCTCAGGACCTGCTGAGATTCGACTCAGATCCAGGTATGAGTGACAGCAGTCATTCTAGGGCAGATGAGTGCAGAGGGGTCCTTGTCTGAGTGCTGCTGAGAGTGTAATTTAGGGAGGTTTTGGTACTGAGGTTGGTTCAGTTAAGCTCTTTCATCTTCCTAAACCCCTGCCTTGTATTGAAGGAGTGTTGTACCATGCTACTGAAGTGGGACCAACTGGTAGAAAGGACATGGCTGCCTCCCTTCAGATCCATGAAGAGAATCTGCATAAGGTGAGGCCTTAGGATCCGCTCATGTTGAGGGTGGTGGTGAGGGTGGGGCAGATGGGGCGGAGAGCAGATTTGTCCTAGATATCACCTCTTGGAGTTTTTGCTTGAGCTCTTTCCTCTTACCACAGCTTGTTTTTGCTTGTTTGTTTTTTAATCATTTTATTGGGAGCACTTAGAGCTCTTATAACATTCCATACATTGACTGTAGCAAGCAGATATGTTGCCATTATCATTTCCAAAACAATTTTCTACTTGAGTCCTTGGTATAAGTTCCTCTTTTTTCCCCTCCCTCCTCCACCCTGCCACCCTCATAAATCCTTGATCAATGATATTTTGTTATTGTTATTTCGTATCTTACACTGTTCCTTGTCTCCCTTCATCCACATGTCTGCTATTCATTCGCTAAAGGGGGTGGGGGGGTGGGGCGGGAGGCCTTCATATCCAATGTTGTGATGGGTTCCCCTTCTTCCTCCCCCTTCCCCCTCTCCGACCTTTCCCCTACCATGATGATATCACTACTCCCACTACTGTTCGTTCCTAAGGGGTTTATCTGTCCTGAATTCTATGGGTCCAGAGCGCTTATCTGTACCAATCTAAGTTCTCTGGTCGTAAGGTAGAAATGGGTCATGGTAATGGGGGAAGGGGACAGGAAGGAAACATTCAGGAATTAGAGGAACCCTGTGTGGTTCATCGGTGCTATACTGCACCTTGGTTGAATCACCCCTTCCTTATAACCCTTCTGTGGGGGGATATCCAATTGCCTACAGATGGGCTTTTGGTCTCCACTCCATGCCCCCTTGCTCACATCAATATAGTTGTTTGTTTTGGAGCTCTATTTTTTTGATACCTGATAACTGATCCTATCAACACCTCATGATCACACAGTCTGGTGTACTGTATCCTTCCACAATATTACATTAAACCCTACCAACTGGTTGACCTGCCCAACATAGTGCAGAAGGATCCCAACATCAAGAGCAGGAACTTCTTAGAAAATTAGGTGAAAAGCAGTCGCCAGAGTACACTTGGAAACGGAGGAGGCAGGGCTCATCAGAGTTATAACAGGAGACAGATTGTAAGGTGATTTGGTGGGGAGAAGGTGGAATTGAGGGTAAAGGGCCCTCTTGAATCATACTTCCTGGTTTGCATTTTCTCCTTTTCATTGCAGATGAAGGCTGAGGGGGAGATGGACCAAGTGAAAGGGCTGGAGTCAGAAGAGATGTGTGTGGGCACAAAGCCTCTGTGCAGCACCATGCCGGAAAAGCCCACCAATATGGGGTCAGTGTTAGGCTTCCTGATACCCTGGGGAGTTTCAGTTACCCCTCACAATGCAGGAAGTTGCTGCCCAAGTTATCTGGAAGAACCACATAGCCTGCATTTCCATCTCTGTCTCCTGTGCTTAGAGGTCTCCCATCCTACCTCTGGCCTGCTCTTTGTGACCCTCCTTTTTTCCACCCCTCTTCACCCAGAGTTCTCTGGCATGGTCCCACTAATTGGGCTTCAGGAAGCAGGGCTCCCGCTTAGTCCCCAGTACCAGAGGTGTGCACGCTGTGCCCTGCTTCCCCTCTAGGGCTACCACTTGCCAGACTCTCATGCCCTGGCTTGTGAAGACTCTTCCTGCCTATGCACCTACATGGGGCTCACCTCTCATGCTGTGATCAGTCATCCCTTTCTTGATCAACAGGGTTTCCTGACCTGTCCCAAGCTGTTACCTGAGCTTTTCTGGATCATGCTGAGTATTGAGGCCCAGGGTTGGCTGTATCACGATATCTGTTCTTTTGGCTCAATGACAGGATGTGGGCCTTGCTGGGGCAGAGAGCTGGGCATTCTCCTGAGTGAGAAGTGGGTCACCTGCAGTGAGCAGAGGGCATGTTGAAGCAGGTGCGGAGAGTGCAAGGCTGGGGCAGAGACAGGTGTGGAGACAGGAGGCAATGCCCCCTCCCAGCACCATGTTGAGTCATCCTGCATGCAACTTCAGAAGAGCCTTGGGTAGTTGGACTTTGTCTGATTGCTCAGACAGGGGACCATCTAAAGTAGGCATTGATGCACAGGGACCACCCGAGGGGGCAGGGGTGAAGCTCTCAAGAGAGGCCACAGACCCTCCAACCCCTGCTCTGCAGTCACCGGAGCCTTTCCTCCTGGGGAACCTCTGCTGCCCCATGGCTGGTCTGCTTCCCATGCCCAGCTCAGAGGGGGGCACACAGGGGACCAAGGACCTGCTTTCTACTCCATGGGCTGATGAAGGACGGACACAGTGACAGCAGAGGAACCACTCCCCCTTTCTCCCTTTTTTGTTCCTAATGCCCACCACCCACAGCTACCTTCACCCCATTTCTCTGTCTTCCTTTGTCTCCACTAGCCTAGGCGGCCTAGGCCTCCCCGTCTGTCCTCTCCTGTGCATTCAGTTGCTTTCTGTCCTGATTCTCTCTCCCTGCCTCCTGATCCTGCCTCACCCATCTTCCTGTCCTACATCCTGGGCCAACCCTAGGGGATGTCCTGCTCTTCTGTAATGTCAGACCTGAAAGATCATTGGACACCTGGTGAGATAGCAGAACTCTGGGCCTCCTCTCATTCCCTCTTTCTTCAGAGACTTCTCTGAGAACTTGCAGAGAGGGTATGTGAAGCAGGGGGTAGTCCCTGCAGTCTAGCCTCCCATGATGCTTCTGTGTCACTGGAGAATGGACCAGGACTGTCCCCATGGGAGCAGCCCAGGAGGAAGGAGAGGAGAGAGGCAGGGAGCTAGCATCCTCCAGGTCTCTGTCTGAGTAAGTCCATCGGGGAGTGTCCAGGGTCCCTGAGGGGTGGTGACATGGAAAGGTAGGTGGGACACACCCATCTGTGATCCTGTGCAGGTGTGCTTGTTTCAACCAAGCGGACAAGCTCTGATTTTCTCTTTTGCCTTGACATTTAACAGTGAACTCCTTGACTTGTTCCCCAAGTTATTGAGCCTGGTGAGTGTATTTCTTTTTTCCTGACTCCCCCGCCTGCTCCATAGTGCCACCCACAATGTGCCCTGAGTCCCTTAGATCCTTCCCAGATGAGATGTTTGGATCTGGGCCCTAATCTCCCTGGGAAGAAGCCCCCATGGGGAAGCTGATAAAGCACAAGGACCTTCTCTGCAGTTCTCCACCAGCACCTGGTCTCTCTGGTGAAGACCACTTGATAATCATGTCCATGGAATCTGTAGGACCCCTTATAATTTGGCCTATACCCTGACTTGACACCCCCACCCCCACCCCGGGCCCTCTGCCCTATGGCCGACCTCCCAGAACAACACGTGCGCCCACTGCAGTCAGCACTGCTGACCTCTTCTTCCCTTCCCCAGCATGCCCAAGATTTGCCCTTGTCTGTTTTCTCTGACACTGGAGATGACAAGAAGTTACCAGTCTGCGAGGTGAGGAGGCAGGACCAAGCAGGGCTTGGAGTGGAGGGAGGGTGAGGATGGGATGGCAGCTAGGGTCCTGAGCAACTTTTTCATTCTAGGGGAGCGTGTATGGATCAGAGACCCTGAAGGATCTAGTCTGGAAGTTCCTAAAGCAGTAAGAAGCCCTTGTGCCCTGAGGCAGCACACACATTGAGATGGGCCCATCTGCCCATGCACAGGCCTGCTTATGGTGGGGACAGGGGTGTCTTTAAGTTTCTAAGGGGCCTTTGCTTCCCCTTAGGTATTACAGTATCTACGATGGTGGGGACCGACAGAGTCTCCTGAGTGCCTACCATGACAATGCCTGCTTCTCACTGAGTACTCCCTTCAACCCTGAGGAACCATCCCTGTGAGTATCTCAGCCCCTAGGACAGCCCTGGACCTGTGACTCCCAGCAGACACTGACCAGCCTCCTCCTCCTGTTCCTGCTTTTTTCCTAGAGTCAGCTGGGGCAAGTTCTCTAAGGACAGCAGGGCTATGAAGCAGCTCAAGGACGTCGGTATGTGTGTGTGAGACTGAAGACTGGATGGGGCGGGAGGTGTGAAGGTAAATCACAGGGACCCAGTGAGTGAGGCAGCCCTTGACCATCTCTTTACTTTACCCACAGGCCTGTGTGTTCAGGTGATGAAACACACAAAAAGGGAGATTGTCGACTTCTTCCGTGTGTTGCCCAAGACCCAGCATGACTTCAGCTCCTTCGTGGTGGACATGTGTGTCCCGAGGGTGAGCACCTGTTTCCTTCCAGAGGGAGGCCCAGGGAGCAGAGGTGGGTCGGAGATGTTCCAGGATGCTGGGAGCCTGAGCTGGTTTTCTCTTTCAGGAAAAGATGCTCTGCTTTTCTGTCGGTGGGAAGTTCAAGGAGGGTGAGTGTCTGCAGTCTCAGGCCTCCCCTCCCCCGACTGCTCCCTCTCAGAGCTCTCCAGGCTTCCTCCATCCCTCCCTTTCCTATTCCTTCATCAGCTAATACCTTATCCCCAACCCACGCTTGCCTGACCTATTTCCATTCCTGCCTATCCCACCACAGACCAGGTGTTAGAGACACAGGCTGTGGACTTTGGTGCCCCATGTCTCCGTCCCCTTTCTAGCACCTTGAGACATCTCTCAGGTGCCTCATTTCTAAAAAGGGACTAGGAAAGGGCATTCCCTCACTGCTATCAAAATGGAGACAAATGTACTTGTGAGGAGATTGTCACAGGCCCTGACACAAAGTAGGGTCCCTATCATTGGGAAGAGATTTTCCCACTTGTTACCCCAACACTGATACCCACCCCCCCTGAATCCCAGTGGACAGCGGTCCCTGCAAGGCCCCCTTAAGTGTGCCATGAGAAAACAAAACCCTTGATGAGTGTGTAAAGCATGGGGACTCTGACGGACTTTGTTGCTTGTTGTCTTGAAGTGGGAGGAATGTGTGAGGCTCGTGTCTGCACCTTCACCCGGACCTTCGTTTTGATTCCTGACAGCGATTCCAGGTTAGTGGTGTGTTGTGGGTCCCAGAGGGATCACCCATCTCAGGCTGTGGCCAGTAGTGCCGAAGTAACACTGCATCCCTTAGGATTTCCCCACCACTGCAGAATTCTGAAAGGTAGAGTCCAGGAGCAGGCCATCCTACTGGTTAAGAGTATAGGCTGTGTCATAGTGACTTCTCCCCCTGACTAGCTGTGTGTCCTTGGTCTAGTTACATGACTTCTCTGTGACTCTGTCCTTCTCTGAATATGATGATATGAATAAACCAACTCCTTGGGCTGTTGTAAAGGTAAAGGCAGGTGTGAAACTCTCTCAGGGTTGGGGGAAACCTAGAAACCCAGTGAAGGAGGCAGACAGCTCTCCAAAGGCAGGTTCTATGTGAGGGAAAAGAGTACCAGTCAAAGAGTCTGCCCATTGTCCATGTGTCTAGCTCTCTGAGGCCCATTCTTTCTCCAGCTTATGCATCGTTAAGGACCAACTCACTGTGACTGACGTGAACCCCAAAGAAATCCAGAGTACCTTCTTCAGCCCAGGGCCCTGTTTTGGGGGCCCCCCTTCCCAGAAGCAGCAGTAAATCCTGCAGGCACTCTCCACGTGGTCTGGTAGGTGTTTCCATTGGTCTCAGTAGGGATTGTGGGAGTGGGAAGGGATGGCAGGGGCTAGAGAGTGAACGACGGAAACTCAAAGGTCATGTGTTTTGCTCTTTAAAGTAAATCTTATTTATTTTAAAAATCGTTTTATTGTGTCCTCTTATAGCTGTTATAATACATATGTACATACATTGTTCTTTTTTTGAATCATTTTATTAGGGGCTCATACAACTCTTATCACAATCCATACATACATCAATTGTGTAAAGCACATTTGTACATTAATTGCCCTCCATATGTACATACATTGTGTCAAGCACATTTTGCATATATGTTGCCATGATCATTCTGAAAACATTTTCTTTGTACTTGAGCCCTTGATATCAGCTCATTTTCTCCCCCTGTACCCATCCCCCCTTCTTCATGAATCCTTCATAATCCATAAATTATTATTTTTTTCATGTCTTACACAAACCACTGTCTCTCTTCACCCACACTCCTACTGTCTGTCCCCCTTGGAGAGGGTTATACATCAGTTATTGTGATCGGTTTCCCCCTTCTCTCACTACCATCCCATTACCCTCATGGTATCGGTATCACTACTCTCATTATTGGTCCTGAGGGGTTTATGTGTCCTGCATTCCCTTTGTTGTGAGACTCTTATCTGTACCAGTATACATGCCTTTGTTTAGCCGGATTTGTAAGGAAGAATTGGGGTCATGGTTGTGCAGGGGTGGTGAAGCATTAAAGAACTAGAGGAAAGATGTATGTTTCATAGGTGCTATACTACACCCTGACTGGCCCGTCTCTTCCTTGTGACCCTTCTGTGAGGGGATGTCCAATTGTCTACCGATGGGCTTTGGATCTGTGCTCTACCCTCCCCCTCATTCGCATTGATATGATCTTTGTTTTGAGTCTTTGATGCCTGATACCTGATCCCATGGACACCTCATGATCACATATGCTGGTGTACTTCTTCCAGGTGGGCTTTGCTGTTTCTTAGCTAGATGGCCGCTAGTTTGACTTCAGGCCTTTGAGACCCTAGATGCTAATTTTTTAAAAAAATACTTTTATTGAGGGCTCTTACATCTCTTATCACAATCCACACATTGCTGCCATTATCATTTTCAACACATTCTCTTCCTACTTGAGCCCCTGATATCAGCTCCCCATTTCTTCCCCACCCCTCCCTCCCTCATGAACGGTTGATAAGTTACAGATTATTATTTTCATATCTTACATCATCCTCTATTTCCCCTCGCCCACATTTCCACTGTTTGTACCCCTGGGAGGGGGGTATAGGTTGATCCTTGTGATCAATTCCCCCTTTCTCTCACCACCCTCCCTTAATCCTTCTGGTATCTCTACTCTCATTGTAGGCCCTGAGGGGTTTATCTATACTGGATTCCCTGTCTTGAGGGCTCTTATCTGTAGCAGTTTGCATGTTCTGGTCTGGTTCCATTTGTACGGTAGAATTGAGACCATAATAATGGGGGAAGGAAGCACCAAAAAACTAGAGGAAAGTTGTGTGTTTCATGAGTGCCATACTGCACCCTGACTGGCTCATCTCTTCCCTGTGACCCTTCAGTGAAGGAATGTCCAAATGTCTACAGATGGGAATTGGGTCCCCACTCCATGCCCCCCCCCTCTCACATTGCATACAATTTTGTTCTGGGTCTTAGATGCCTGGCACCTGATCCCATCAATACCTCATAATCACACATGCTGGTGTGCTTCTTCAATGTGGGCTTTGTTGTTTCTCAGCTAGATGGCCACTTGTTTGTCTTCAAGCCTTTGAGACTCCAGGTGCTATATCTTTTGATAGCTGAGCACCATCAGCTTTCTTCACATTTGCTTATGCACCCATTTAAGAAAAATCATTTTATTGGGGCTAGTACAGCTCTTATCACAATCCATAAATACATCCATTGTGTCAAGTACAGTTCTACATTTGTTGCCATGATCATTCTCAAAACATTTGCTTACTTGAGGCCTTGGTATCAGCTCCTCATTGTTTCCCCTCCCTGCCCCCTCCCCCCTCCCTTATGAACCCTTGATCATTTATAAATTATCATTATTTTGTCATATCTTACACTGTCCAACGTCTCCCTTCACCTACTTTTCGGTTGTCCATCCCCCAGGGAAGAGGTTATATGTAGATCCGTGTAATCAGTTCCCCCTTTCTACCCTACCTTTCATCCACCCTTCTGGTATTGCCACTCTCACCACTGATCCTGAAGGGTTCATCTGTCCTGGATTCCCTGTGTTTCAAGTTCTCATCTGTACAAGTTCTCATCTGTACCAGTGTACAAGCTCTGGTCTAGCTGGATTTGTAAGGTAGAATTGGGATCATGCAGTGGGGGTGGTGGAGGAGGAAGCATTAAAGAACTAGAGGAAAGTTGTATGTTTCATCGTTGCTACACTGCACCCTGACTGACTCCTCTCCTCTCCTTGACCGTTCTGTAAGGGAATGTCCAGTTGCCTACAGATGGGCTTTGGGTCCCCAATCTGCACTCCCCCTCATTCACAATGAGATGATTTTTTGTTCCTTGATGCCTGATACCTGACCCTTTTGATAGCTTGTGATCTCAAAAGCTGGTGTGCTTCTTCTATGTGGGCTTTGTTGCTTCTGAGTTAGATGGCTGCTTGTTTATCTTCAAGCCTTTAAGACCCCAGAGGCTATATCTTTCCATAGCCGGACACCATCAGCTTTCTTCACCACATTTGCTTATGCACACATTTGTCTTAAGCGATCGTGTCCGAAAGGTGAACATCATGGAATGCCAGTTTAATAGAACAAGGTGCTCTTGCACGAAGGAATACTGAGTGGAGGCCCAATGTCCATCTGCAACCTTAATTCATAACATACATATAAGTACATAGATCAATTCCCCTCTTGTTATATATAAATATATTTACATATGTACATGTCTGTATTTAAACCTTTATAAATGTCCTTTGTCTCCTAGTTCTTTCCTCTCTTTCCTTTTACTTTACTCTTGTCCCACTATCATGTTTGGCCTTCATTCAAGTTTTGGTAATTCCTTTTGGCTACATTGTCCTTGATCAAGTCCCACCAGGCATCCTATGCCCTCCTTGCCATCAATTTTAGATCACTTGTTTCCTTGTCCCTGGGTTTGTTGGCACCCTCTTTCCATTCCCCCACCTCCCCCTGTCCTGTGTCCCCCCAGAACCATTGGTTGTTATTTTCTCCTCCTCCTCAGTTTGTCCTGCCTCTCTTAATCTAGATAGATATGCAGAGACAATATTAAGCATCAAAAACAACAAAAGAATACAAAAAAACTGAACAACAACAAAAAATAAAAGCTTATAAATAGTTCCAGATCTGTTTGTTGACCTTTATGAGTGCTTTCTATGTTTTGCTCCTTTACTTCACTCATTGTCTCATTCTGGACATCTCTCCCACTCCGTATGCATATTGCGCCACGTAGGTGTTTTCAACCGGTGCAGAGACTTTTTGGATTGCATGGACTCTGTGCCTTTATGGGCACACTCAGGGTGTCTAGGAGTTTCCTCCCTGACACTCTCGAGGCACTGTGCTCATTCTGCTGCTTTTGTCACGGCAACGTTACTCGGAGGCATGGTCCTGATGCATGCATTAGGTCACCTTGTGGGGTCAGTGTGTCCCTTTTGGTCCTGGTGGATGTTATTGTCCTTCCTCTACTCCAGGTATGTTTATGACAGAAACTGGGATGACTTCAAGCCTCAGATTTTTGCTGTGCCCACAGCAAAGTCTTGGAATATAGTCCAAGTGAGCACAGACCAGGTGGCCTGGGGATGACAATCAGGTGTCTGTTTCTGATGATGCCCTGACTCCTCCCTTTTCTCTCTCCAGCTTGTGACTGAGGCCTAGAAGAGGCATTAATGAAGGCACGCACAGCTTTTACAAGGAAAACTCCAAAGAAGCCCAGGTCTTGGTCAGCTTCGTCATCCTTGTTATACTCTTGCCTGTGTGTCATCAAATATCTCATTGGTTTTAAAAATAAAGACTGATGGTCCCCCTCTTTGGTGTCACCCAGTTTTTATTAGTTTAAGCAATGATATTGCATATTGTGTTATGTTATGTCCCTCTAGCGTCACTTTGAGATATGTATTATCATCACTGCCCTGCAGCTTACATTCTGCAGGGGCTGATGCTACAGTAAAGCATTGAATTATCTGAAGAACATAAAATGGTAAGCTATGATAGCAATTGAGTAGGATGGGGAGGTCAGGACAGCTTCTCTATGGGATTGAATTGGACCTTATTCACAAAGAGCAAGAAGGATGATATAGAACCTGAGAACTTACCCAAAAGAAACAACCCAGGCAGTGGTCCAGAGGTGTGAACAAGTATGTGTAAGGAAAAGCTTAGTTGGCAATGTGCACTGGGAAGGCAGTGGTAAGAAATGCGTTCAGAAGGCTGGATCATAGGAAGTTTTGTATGCCCTTGTAAGGGCTATGAGGTTTATTCTTCCTGTGATGGGGGAGTCATTAGGGGGCTTAAAGTAAGAGGGGGCTATTTGAGTCTACTTCTGTTTAAAGCTTATTGTGAATGCTTTATGGAGAATAGCCTGAAGGACAGTAAAGGTAGGAACAGGAAGATGACGTAAGTAACTGCCGTAATCATAGGGATGAGAGGGTCCCTTGGCATCGATAATGAGAAGGGTTGTTAGGGGGCATATTAAACAGCATGGAGGTGGGAGAATCTGACTTCCGGATTCCCTATTACCATGAGTCAAGAGTGGCAGGCATCCTTCATTACGTATGCAGACATCAACTCTTCGTGCCATGCTACTCTTCAGCTGTGTTGGATTTGGTCCTTCTTTTCAATGGCCGCACAGAACTTACAGACCATATTCAAAATTAAGGGGCTTTAATAGGGAACTCGATAGGATCAGCAAAAAATAATGAAAAAGTCATTGGTCTTCTCAGCCAGCTGCCCAGTGTGTCTCTGCTTCTCAGCTTCTTAGCCACATGGCCCCTTCATAATTGCCTCCGTGGGCCAGGAAGGAAGCCAGCCCCTCACTCTGTTCCACAGTTCAGTAGTCTCCTGCCATATGAGAAGGTACCCCATAGTTTTGGCACTGCTCCTGTAACTGTCTGTGCCACAGCCTCTGACACACCTGGTCTTGGAGGCCGCTGGAGTCCACTCCAGAGAGGACTGCTGCTGCTTCAAAGATGGTTCATGCTTATAACCAAGGAGTGGCCACCAAAGCTGATGGACTCTTGAATAGTGCTACCTAATCACTTGGTACGGGTTTTAGAAACCTCTTTAGTAGAGCCAAATCAAGGAATTCCATTCATAGTAAGGGAGGGACACCTCTTGAATGTAGAGCCAACTGGGCTGGGCTGGTAAGTGATAGGAAGAGTTTCTGTAAAAAACTCAGAGTAGCATTGTGAGGCTGATACCTTAGATGGCAGAGGGCCAGGTTTGGTGGGAAGCCTGGAAGGTGACAGTTCTGTTTGGGTAATATTGGTGGTGGGGCCAGTTCAAAAAATCAAGTTAGGGCTGTGAGTTGGGATAATTACAAAATGTGTTAGGCAGGGTTCTCTAGAGAGATAGAACCAGATTGCTGATAAGTTTACATATTGATTTATAAGGATAGATATATAACACAAGAAATGAACTGTTAAATTATATAAAAATAGATATATAATACAAGAAATGAACAGTTAAATTATAAAGCAGTACAAATGGCTCAGTGCAACTCATTCCTGTGAGAGAGTTGTGAGACACTAGCAGTCTGAGTTAGTTAATTGTGCCAACCTG